CGTGACTAAAAAAAAACGAGTAATTTCTACATAGAAGCCAAACCGTACCGGTTAAGCCTTCATGCACCAGGGGCAGCATCTTTCACCTTACCGTGGAAGTACCCACCAGCATAATCTTTAACATGAGCCGCCGTGTCATAGATCCGAGACCGAGCATAATCCACCTGATCCGACCCGACCGGATGCATGCCTTTGTAATACCGGTACGTCCACGACACAACAGCCGCCGTACCAAAGAGAAAACCGGCGAAGGACAAGAATCCGGTAACGAGGAAGAACAAAGGGATCCAAATAGGGCTTGAGATGATGATAAGTGGAAGGAAAGCAATGAATCCGAGGACGAAAGCTGTGACGGTGATTCCGGTGAGTAAGAGAAGGATTCCACCGGAGATGAAGAGTGCGAGGAAGCCGAAGGATTGGCCGGAGTAATTAGGAACGTGTGATTGTAGTTGACGGAGAAGAGATGCGATTGGATGGTTAATTGTGTTGTTGCTTCGTTGGTTGGTGGTTGAGCCGTAGATGGGTCTGTGTTGGGTTTGGCTGCTAGGGTTTGTTCGGTCCATGTTGGAGAGGTTCGAGAGAGATGTGTGAGGTTCGAGAGAGAGATGTGAGAGGTGTGAAACAAATGGAGACAGGTTCCGGAAGTTAATGCGCATGCATGCAAACACGTGGAGTTATTGATCGGTCTTGTTTTTTACTGACTTGTTCTGCTTTCTACAATTTTTCTTTTTAGAAAATTATTGGTTAAAACAAATTTTCTTTTCTTTTCTTGGTCAATATTACTGGTTAAGCTTAAATCTTGATTTTTGGTGCTAGAAATAAAAGAGTGTAATTTTTTGGTTTTGGATAAAATGATTTAACTAACTATTCGATACCCATGAATTGCGTTGCACACCATGATCAGTGTTCAGATAAACCAAAAGAAAACTTAACTTTTGTTAGGTCGTCTTAAAAGTCATTGTCTTATCTTACAAGAAACTTGAAGTTTTCTTCATGATCAAATTGCAGGAAACTTCAATAAAATATTAATTAGTGATTGATTTTTTCTACGTTTTTCCTTTTTGTGAAGTTATTAAGTTAAATTAACATGGCCACCTCTCAAAGTTAGATAATGTTTTTATATTAAAAAACAAATCCAAAAGAACGATTCATTTTCTAAAAAGTACAAATACTTTAGTTACATTTTTATAAATTTATGTGCAT